GTTCTGCGAAAAATATGCAAGAGGGCAGAATAAACAAGTGTGAAAATAGGAAATTAAGTGATCGCATAAAAGAAAAAGTGGTAGGCGTAAGCACAGTGAAATGAGTTGGGAACCCTAAGATTGCATTTTTGAAGTAGACCTACCTGAAATAGATTTTGTCTATTTCGTAAAGCTGCAAGTTTTGCTTGGCGAACTTCGTGCTCTTCGTGAGGACTGGGTTGTGCAAAGAATTCTATAAGATCTTCTAAACATTGAGTGACTTCACCGAGAAGTGTTCCATTGGATAAACGAAGTACCGCCGGTGATTGTGTGATTGGCGTCTGTGATTGTGCAGCCACGGGCGGGTGTATAGCTGAGTAATGTGGAGTTGAAATCAAGCGTAACGTGTTCACGAACAAGCTAAATACAGCTGTACAACGTCGAATTGCACTGGCCGATTTGATTTCTTCATCCTGAGCTCGAACAATGCTGAAGAGATCATCCATGTGACCCTCTACCAACAACACGGCTTTCTTTTCTTCCACTCGACCCACCCCACGTTTACGTGTTTCATAGGCTTCGTACGACAACCACCGACCGGATTCTGCATGTTGTAAATAAGTTAGGGTCTCGCCAAGTCGAAGATCAGGTTCACCCATTCCCTCGTCTCCGTGTTCTTCCATTCTTTTTTTGTCATCCTGAATAAATAAAATTTTTGAAATGTATTCAGTGATTAGGTTCCTGAAACTCATCCGGGAACTTTAAAATTTGTTCAAAAGAGCATTTTCTTTAAAAGATGTGGTAATAAAATATCAGACAAACAAGAGGATTTGCAGCTTGAATATTTTACACTTATCCTCATCGAAATGCTGGCTGGAAAACAAGAGTGAATACTTCCATATGCAGTAAAACAGGAGTGAATATATATGTATCTATTATCAGTTTGTGAGCGACTATGGTATCGATGTGGCAACAATGACACTAAAAAGAAACAATCAACCAGTACTATCAAGCAGCTGTACAACTTTACTAACCTTCTAAAAGCGTGCCACAATAGTGAGAATAATTTTGCAACAAAATTAGATAAGTTTCGTTAAGGGCATTTTAATCGTTACCGTTTGCAGTTTCAGTTGTCAGATTGATAAAACAAAGACTATTTATTATCTAACGGGAATTCCAAAGACCCCGCTTTATTCTGCATAGTCCCTATCATGGTTCGGCCATTGACCAGATTCATGATTTACCTTGCTTGGACGGAGCAGAAAGATAGTGGCGGCTTCTGTGGCTTCATGTGGGGCAAGGGTAAAAACCTCGCAGTGCCCAGTTCCTTGAGCTTCGTTTGGAGTTACACCAAGATAACGACCAGTAGTCACATGGCGCAGTCGTACCTCGCTTGCCCAAGAAAAGAAACCAGCGCTCCATTTGGTTTTCTTGTGTTCAATACGCCATAGAGATCGTGCGCTAGTAGACACGGCGCCTATTTCATACATGACTGGTTGACGCATTCTGAATAAAAAATAATGACAGAAGCAGATTGATTGCCACCCCAGTTTTATGAAAAACAAAGCTTAGTTATATTATGCTGTTTTCAGCAATTTTCCATCTGAAATCTATTCCATAAATAAAAGTAATCATCGGTTTGTCAGTCCATATTATTCTCGAAAAATTTCTGGACACTAAATGAAATATGAAAAACGAAAAATGAATAAACTGTATAGTCAAATGATAAAGTGTTGTGTGTATGTATTCATTAGTTGGACTCAGTTCGTTTGTAACGAGGTTCATTGCAGAATGCATAAATGGTTAAAGAAATACGATACTAGGCAAAACGTTTAAGCCTAGAAACAATACATATTGTTTGTAGAAAAAATAAAAAGTATAAAGCAACCAAAAAAACGCAGACTAAGTAATCATAACAAATCGTACTTACAAGGTCTTAAGAATATACTGATGGCTCACACTCTTATTTGACTGCGTAGTATTTTCTGAGCTCATCTATTGTAAAACCTTGGTTTTTAGTGTAAAAGTATGCAATCAGTGTCTATATCAAATTCAAAACGTACCATTCTTTTGTGTTCCGAAATTGCTGCAAAAAGAATAAGCCTAATCAAATACTGAGGTTTTAGTGAATGATAATCCTGGTAGGGTACAAACAAGTATATAAGGCTTCACCAACTCACCCCACTGATACATCTGCATGTGTAGCATGTGCGCTCACATTGGCTGCACTGAGTCTAGGTAAGGTGTTTGGTGGACTTCCCGGAGCCCCACCGTTGTGCATGGAGCTCATAACAGCGTTCACGTCTTCAGAATCGGGTGCACTAACAGTAAGACACTCGTCTCCATGAAGCAGGCGAACCACATCACCACCAAAAGCCATATCTGCGGCAGAATGAGACAATGATGCAAGAGCTCCATTGTAAGTAAACCGGCAATAAGAAACAAACGCCAACATTGAAAAAGTAAAATAGTCACTTATGCACTATTATGACAATAAACATACTTTGATAAATACGAGTTACCGAAATTATATGATGTGCATATTTCAAGTCCACAATACTGTATTCATTTTCGAAATTCCACCACTACAGGCGCTGGTTGAGCGATTATGGACCTTATGAATGGATCAGTTCAAAGTATACTTATTGTAAGCACTGGATGAGCAGCGATACGTCACTCATTTACCGCAGTCTAATTCCTTCTTTAATTGTTAAAATCACAATGACGAGCCTATGTGTAACCTGGTGGGAACATTCTGCAGATATTATATTCAATTAAGAGTATTTAGTCCTTTTCAACGGAATTTGTGAGGAAAAAATCGGTGAGAAAAAAGTATACGAACTAAAGGAAAGTTAGTTTTATGTAATGTATTATCAACATTGTGTACTAATTGCGAGTGGGCTTCATTGTCACATTGCCAATATTACTGGAATTTAAATTTCGTAGTACACTCTTACCTGAACCTACCATACGTACGTCTGTTATCAGATGACCTCAAGCAAAAATGAATAGTGCTACCCGATTACATTATGACAAATCTAATTATCAGACCATCAGACCTTGAAAAGTAATTAAACTGTTTGGTGCATGTAGTCAACTTTAATTTGATGGGGCAGTTCTCTTGAGAAATGACATTGCGTATTCGACTTACGCTTTGCCTCCGTTTCAGGATTATTCTCCAAACAACTAAATGGCTATGAAAGGCCTGTAAAAGTGATCGACAGCTCAAAAATAGGATCACGGAAAAATACGTTTATGTGCGAGCGGTTTAAAATAATACTAACAGTTCATTTTGTGAGTTCAGATGAGGCTAATTAAAAAAGTGCAGATATCAAGCAATATAAGGAAGAGAGGACTTACTCATTGATTTCTGACGAACCACACCACTTGAGACTGGGATTACCGTCCAAAGCGTTTGTTGGAAACTGGCGATTACCCCATGACCTGTATATGTTTCTCCATATACGTGCTTAAGTGAACGAGAAGAGTGTGAAGAATAGCAGATTTTGAGATTGAGTGCATAGTCTCTGGTGGAATCGTGAAACAACTCTGATTCTCAGTGAGATTTAATGAATAATCTTCAACGACATACAGACTGCATATATGAGCATCATTCAGTAGAAATAAAATCACCAGTTTAGTTCAAAATACGCATACTTAAATCGAATATCGAAATCAGCTTCAGTTCAGGCTTCGTACCTACCCACGTGAAACAACAATCCAGATCAAATTTTATTTCAGCACCATCAAGAGAGATTTTCAATTAAAGGCATTCTAGTTTCGGTTGTTGATGAATACAATTGGACCAGATAGAAAGCGTTTAGTGATAAAAAGGTGATGAGGCTGATACTTTTTACTCTACCGGCTCATGGCTTGTCTTACATTCTTACAGTACATTACATTCTTCATGTTTCCTAATCTTTAATTTTCTTGCATGACATGTAAATTGTTAAAATAAATTATTCCCACGTTTGGAAAACGCCTGACAATGAATAACTGGTGCATACCATACATCAGTTTCACATACATTCGCATGCAACTCACAGTTACTTGTGAAAAATGGTGTGGGATATTTTAATATTGATTGATTTTACCTGACTATCCTTCTGACTTCAACTTCATGTACATTCCTCAGCTCTTCCAGTGATCCATACACTCAGGAGCACTAGACTCGAGTTTCGCTCTTAGTAGAGCTCATCAGTAGTGCATATCCACCGTCCCGTCCAGGATATGAACTCCGGACCTATCGCATGGAAGGCGTGTGTTACCACCGTGCCAACCAGCTCATCCCATGGCTGAACCGAATTGCTAATTGATTTTTGTGCAGGTTTCGTCTTCAGTGCTTATCAGTCAATTCATATAGCCCAACTGAGGATTGTGTGTGAAGGTGAAGTCAGAAGGATAGTCAGTTAAAATCAATCAATAATAAAACATCTCAAACCAATACTCACAATTAACTGTGAGTTACATACAAATAATCAATTGAGCCTGATATATTTGTGGCCAGTTAGCCCGTAACCTGCATAGAAGCCCTGACTTCGTGGGAAACTTTGGATTGGAGTTAACAGATTATCATCTATATCTCCCTTTATTGCCGTTGAGCCAAATGAATTGACTGATAAGCACTGAAGACGAAACCTGCACAAAAATCAATTAGCAATTCGGTTCAGCCATGGGATGAGCTGGTTGGCACGGTGGTAACACACGCCTTCCATGCGATAGGTCCGGAGTTCATATCCTGGACGGGACGGTGGATATGCACTACTGATGAGCTCTACTAAGAGCGAAACTCGAGTCTAGTGCTCCTGAGTGTATGGATCACTGGAAGAGCTGAGGAATGTACATGAAGTTGAAGTCAGAAGGTTGGTCAACTCATATTAATCAATAATAGTTTATGTGGTTTATAGTTTATATCACTCAGTGTCGTTAGTCGTTGAGCACAATGACCCCGAAGACCTCATACTGGCATTCTAACGCTACTGACGTAAATCTCTTGGTCAGGATTTGCAAACCTTCATTCTAGGTCTTTGCTTGACCACGTTTGACATCTTTCTACCCACTAGCTGCTCTGGCCTGCATTGCTTGGTCTTGCAATATTGGTCTGAAAACGACATCTGAACAGACGTGACCTTTCTCTTTATAATTGCTCCTAATTCCCTTTATCCGTTCGCATTTCATTCTTTGTACGGTAACATGAAGCACGTTTACATTAAAACATTAAAAAGACGCTAAAACGTTTGTACTAAGATAAAATTTGAAATATCGCCGTTCTTGATTTCATTGTTCTTTGAAATCGGTCTCCCTACCTTCACCGCTTGTATTGTGTCATATAACTTGGGACGTATTAGCGAAAGATGATGAATCACTGAAAAAGTCTTGTTCTCTACAGTTCTACCCAATATGCCTGCACAGATACATACATACATACATACATACATACATACATACATACATACATACATACATACATACATACATACATACATACATACATACATACATACATACATACATACATACATACATACATACGTAATAGCGCCCAGCCCTAAGAACTTGGTTACGCGGTGTGAATAGCTTTATTGATAACACGATATGTACATACACATACACTGTTGACCAAATATGTCATTGCTAATGTAATTAGTATCAAAACTGGTTATGCACTTTATCAAGCCCCAAAAAGCATGCTAAGTTAATATTCCAAAGTTCAAATCTTGAGACACTATATTCTGTAGGATCCGTATTTTGCAATCAGACCTACGGTGGCTGAAAATTTAACTCTGGAAATGAACGAAGATTTAACATCACGTTTTCTTGTCCATCAACATTCCTTCGTCATCGTTCATTGACCTATGTGTGTCACTCACTAGTTGTTACCCAATTAGAACAAAAATTAACCAGAAACAAATGTCCGTGCTTGAGTGAAGTGCGACAAAGGGTTTTGGACACGCAAGGCAAAAATGAAGAATAAAAATATTGAGCAAGCTTGGTATAAAACTTCTATTACTGGCATTTTTGGCCATTTACGAGTAAACTCCTACCAAGTTTAATATATATTTTAATTTCTAGTTGACAATTTTTGGGCAACCATATGATGTATCTTGCTATTATTTCGTTTCATCTGAAACTTAATATTTAAAACAGAGCCAAACTTCAAACTATTTTTGCTTTTTGTCTGTGTTCTTTTCCTTTCCAACTGGAAGTTCTAGCATTTCTTTCCACACTGGGATCGATTTAACCCTATCTACACAGAAGATAAGTAACCGATTGGTGACTGCAACTGAAGCATAGTTCTGTACATGCCAAATTTTCCGCGTGCTGATTGGCTCGTACTAAAAGCGAGGTGGGACGCGGGAGGAGGAACGGTGATAAGCCTCCAGACCAGCATTCCTTTAGCCACTCTGAACCGATTTTTCATCCAAGACACGCACCTCACACGCACACATGCCTACACCCACGTATGTGTTTGTAGGTAAATTCCCGTATGGTCATAGCTACCATGCTATTGATAGCAACAGGCAATATCGATCGAACATTTTAGGTGCACCTGGGATTTCATCGATCTATTGTAAAGTTGTGCTATTCATTAACCGCTGCCTGAGGCAGAGAGGTAAAAAGGGGTGGACAGTAGGTTCAGCAGTGCATATGACCTCATAGGACTGCTGTAAATTGCGTCCATGATCAACTAGGCCACATGGGACACGGGACATAGATAACGGAAAGACAAACTGGGCATGCGAAAATTTGCACGAGGCCGAACGGAATTTTGGGCAAAAGCAAAACGTGGAGGCGAAAACAAAATGTACCAAATCCGAAGTACATCTAATGAACCACGAAATGACCAAGCCTCGAAAAAACTGTGAACAAGTAAAAATTGCGACTATGTTTTGAACTTAGTTTATCATCACAAAGCAGTCATATCGTATCATCAGATATTCGACGATTCTTAAAAAATTGTCCGTACTAATACTCTAAGGTAGCACATAAATCTACTGGTAATCTCCAAAGAAAATGCTGATGAAATTGGTAATAATATTGCACAATTACATCAACTGATTGAAACTTAACGATAAACAAAAGTTTATACTATTCGTGGACTCAACGTGTCATTTTGTCTTTCAATTTACTTTACTGATAGCACTGAAAAAGCGGAAAAATCCATTAATTGTAGCAGAAAATTTGACTTGATGAGCCAACAATGTTTTGTATAACCCTAATAATTATATTTACTATTCCACTTGCAGCACCTAGGATAACTAATGGATTCGCAACCAATTTCTTTAAAATGAGCACTATTTGATCATGGGCTAGCACGAGTAGAATCAATGATAAAGGTGGCCAGATTGTAGCGTTTAAACAACAGTCAAATGCGTTGATAACCACAAACTGCTTTCGTCCTCATGCCTCAAACTAACTTTCCCAGGCAAACACGAAGATGAAATTGCACTGAAAAGTGGAATAAAAAAACGTGTACAATAATAGTTAGTCTATAAAACTTACCAAATATCTCTCCGATGAAACGCTTACAATGATCAAGTCATCACCGATGCGCACTTTTTCACCCACGGATCGTTGTTTTGATGCAGGATGAATAGTCCACCAACAAGACTCGGCTATAAAACAAAGTAACATCAATTAAGAATGCTAGTGGTCATGTCTTCCTAACTGATGGAAGACCCAGTATTTTACCAGAATAAGAATTCTAGTCCAAAGCACATCATAGAATAGTTCATGCATTTACCTTATCCGGTACATCGCTCTCTGCGGAGAACTGACAGCGTTTTTGGTGAATTGGCTAGTGTCGCTTAAATGCCTATTCGACTTCTGGGCAGGAAAATTATGTGACATGAGAAATATTAGGAATGCTGACTGTACCTAGATTCTTAATGCAGACATGCTTTGAATGCCAAACTTGGGATTGTACTGTGGAACAAAAACCTTTCAGGTTCTGTTGGATATTTTGTGGGAAAAGCTGAGTTAAATCTTATAAATCCCGGTTTTATTGCCAGTTTCACAAACAATCATGAGAGATCCTAAGCTATACGTCATATTCATTAAGATCACAATGCAAAAGTGAACCCCATATTGATAAGAAAGGGCATTTTTGATCTACCAACTTCAAACCTTTTTGAACCGAACGTTGATTAGTTAACAAGATTTCCGGACTGGAGGCATCTAAGTCATCTTCCAATGACACTTGTAATTTCAGCTTTAATTAAATATGAAAGGTAAAAGCCTGAAAGCTTCATACATTGAGTGTATATGATTTCATTCAAGTGCTCTCTTGAGATCTCAAACATGACAAATCCTCACAATTCAGCTGACAACTTACTGTCGGCTTTTGTCTGCAGACCCACGTCAAAAGCCAGCTTGTCTTGCGATGTGCTAGTTGATAAGCAGGCCAGGTACTAAAATTCAAGCATGAAAATCGTAAATTTAAAAACTATATAAAAACTTAGCTTGATCACAATAGGGAAACTGCATTTATCAACACATCTACGACACAAATTTTACACAATAACAAGCGGTTGAACAATCTGCGGTGAGCATTATGTTGGTTAATGACATTCACAAGACTTTCCTTCCACGATAGTGTGACCACCTAATTATTTCACTTGATAGAGCATTCATTTACTTTTCGACCGTTGATATGATACACACTAAATAACTTACCAAAGCGGGGTTTTAGGTTCAATTGTTCTCATTTTTATTATCATTACCATCAAAGAAGAACGATGTGCGGATAAGCCAAAGCAAGTAGGGTTATTCATGTGGCACAAGAATGAGGGACTGGTTCTTTGCAATTCGTCTGGCTTAGGAACAATACTTACTTACTTTAATTTTCTACTATCATCATTTGAAGCATCTTTCATATTTCCCCATTTAATTTTTTAATTTTCCCTTTGATCAATAAATCAAATCTCGGTAATTAGTTAGCACAAAAGTAGTGCTTGTCAAATCTGAATAGCAGCTTGTAATCCGAGGATTCCCGCCTAATTTTAATGATTTTTTGCAAAGAACTTGGGATAGTTTCACATAAGAAATTGAACGTACCTCTTTTAGTTTTCTATCAGTAAGATTAGCAAACAGGAAGGAAACAAATAGAATAATCTGACAAAAATGATGTCTCCTTTTGGCACCATACGCAAACCGAATTATGTTGACGAACGAAATTTGATTAGTCTATTTCATGTAAATAATTATTATGGGTTTGATTCTCATAGTCGGCAAGTGATACCGCATGTTGTCTGTAAAAGATGTTCCGAATCTTACCATGTTGCTTTCTCTGTGTTTTAACCGAATGGCGTGCCCATAGAGAAGTGTTTTATGCCCAGATTGTCCAGCACTTTGCTAAAATATTGAAAAAAGGAGCAACGATGAAATAATTCACGGATAAATAAACTTTTTGGCTATCATCATCTTGTTTACATAGTCATAATTTTCATACAGAAAAAATAAGATAAATAATGCACAGGTTTAGACAGTGTAGAGATATGGCAGCCCAAATAAGTTGTATTCCATGAAAACGGTCAAGAGCAACAGAGTTCAAGGGTTTCAGAAACTCACGTCAGATCCCTGAGGTTGAATGAAGAGCATTTCCTGGAGAGCACGCACAGACAGTGCTTGTTCCAAAAGGAATACACAGGGTGGCATATTTGGCGGTGGTGTCTGCAAGAATAAGATTATATTTAGTTCATTGGAAATGTATGTGGCAGCAAGTTAGATGAACGACCCAAACAATGAGTGAAAGATGAAACAATGGCTTAAGGTTCATCAAATCTATCAACAAGTTATTTACCCCCCCCCCCCTCCCGGNGATTGACAGTGATCACAAGTAATAAAGACCGTGTTTTCCCGATAATAAATTTTACTCGAACAGGTTCTTTCAGGATGTTTTGAACAGAATCCTTATCTCTTGAATAAGCCCTGATTATGAACTTCAGTTAGCGGGATTTTCAATAAGTTGAACTCAAACTGACCATGTTTTGGGGTAGCTTAGAACAATCTGACTGTTAGGTATTTGAAGTCCGATTTTTCAAAACCCCGCTGTTCTTGGTCTACAACAAGGTCAAACAAATCAGTCCGGCCCTAATATAAATGCTGCATAGAAAATTTTTGAGGGAATTAGAGTTATTGCCAATTAGACAGTTAAACTAGAGATGCCAGTGGCAAGCATTTGATAAAGGATGAATGTGGGTCATGTTTTAATAAGTCACTGGTGTAGAATTTTGTCACTAACAACAATTCCTCTGCACTTTAGTGTCCTTATCCAGATTAAAACTTACAATTCCTGTTTTGCAAGTCTTTAAATAACAGTGCATACACTGGCAAAGTTGGAGGAATATTATCCTTAAGCTCGAACAAGATAAACGTCGAATGAAAGCAATTCTGTTGGTTTCAAATCAGTGTTGGAGACTCCCTGGGAAAGAATTTTACAGCTTTCTGCTAAGGGAGAAAACATTCAGAGCCTCCGAACGGGCGAAAAATAGAGTGTATTGTACAATAATGTAGGTCACAAAGTTGAAAGAAATGCTAATAAATGCAAGAGTGAACCAAGTTGGCAAGCACTGTTATCTAAACTAAATGGTGCCACCCACCAATGAAATGCTGAAAAGCGGACAAATTCTGTGTTTGTACAAACGGCTGATATTCAAATTGTGATTTTTGGATCTATCCTCTTAAAAAATCGAAAACGCCCTAACACTGGTTATTTGAATTCGTTCAGCGCTATAACTACTACTAAGGAAATCAAGAATATTATGTCAGCTGGAAGATACTGAAGTTAGTAAAGGTGCACTTGCATTCAGTTATTTCGTGGACGGCGTACATTGGTTCCAATACCAAATCTCCAATACTATTTCCTAGGCACCTAGCGGACTCATAAAAGATAAAATATTGAGCCAACTACAGAGGGCTCAGTTAGTTCTCAACAAATTCATAATTCTGCAGCATCGTTGCAACATTTAATTCCCTATGAAGGGTCACGGGTATGGTGCGGCAGTTTGATCGGCACTGTTGTATAATGCGGAGACTTTGGCACTATGAAGACAGGATAAAGATAAATTATCGGCCAAATTACAAAACCTAGAGGAGCAACTAGAAAAACCATGCTGAGTTTAGGCGCGAAGTTTGGGCTAATTGCGGTAGCTCATAGGAGTGGGTTCTCAACCTCAAGTTATCTGGAGTATGCGTTATGCATGTCATCAATCAGACTTCCACAAATTGAGACGTTTGCCGTGGCAGATAGTGGGTAGTAACAAGCAAAGGATGATGAAACCAAAACGTGTCATGAGGGTTTGAAAACCCCCTACCTGGTGTTTTGCACATATAGATCACGAAGAGCTTCTCATTTGGGGATCAGTGTATCAGGGATTATAGATCAGTAATATAGTTATATGGCGTAAACATTGGAACTGGTGAATCCACTAAATTTCCACGCGACAGTAGTTTAGAATAATCTCTATCTCCACGTTTATGCTGTTACTAGCTATCCATTTTTCCTTTCTTTCCTTCCTAGTTTATAAGAAGTCGTGACTAGGACAAACATGGGACGAAATCACTGACAACTGTGTTACTAAAGCAATACAATCAAGGGTCATAACCAACGAATGCTCTTTCCAGGAAATCCAGATGCACTGATTTATTTATTGATTAATTGATTGATTGATTGATTGATGCAAGAGATTAAGGTAACTGCGTCTACAAGAAACGGGGAATTGAGAAATTCATGTCGCAATTTTGATGTTTGAGAAAGAGTTCCCATGCCCGTATTTGATTAACTGCAGAGTTTTATTTGAATAAATGCTAGTTTCCATAACTGAACTACAAAGTATCACCTTAAAATGAACTCGATAAAACTATTCTAGGCAAAACTTAATAAACTTACCGGTCGTATTTTCCAGAAAACACGGAACTCTTTGAAATAAATATATTCCTGGAGGTTGTGTAAACAGCCCAAGTTGTTGGAATTATGTTATCTAATAAATATTTTAACCTCTTCTTGGATAAAGTAAGATATCTCTAAGAAATTCTTATCTGGGTGGGTTCGTACTGTTAAAAAACGAAAGATTTAAACCAAAGAAAATAGAAAACATTAAACACTTCGCATTTTTAACAAAAATAAACTGACCGTTTCATGTGAGCTGAATTATTTGATAAATTCGAATCAAATATTTTTAACCATTGATGTTTGTCATCAATTAATAAAAGCTGAATTGTCTAACCAAGAATGTATGTCGGTTATCACAAAGCTCCCTTCAGAGGCAAAGTCCCTGTCTAATTTTCTCGATAACTTCTAGGACGATCAGAGAAGATAGAGTATGTTTTTTTAATTAATTTTCCCTATCATGCTTCACCTTGCAAAGAATGTAATTATTGACTTGAACTGACTATTCTTTGGACTTCATTTTCACGCACAACCGGAAACAAGTGCTTTCGAAAGTATGGTTGACTCGATAAACTGAAGATTGTTTAAAGGTGAAGTTTGAAGAAAAATCAGTTCAAGTGATTATTAGTTATTCCACACCACTACTCAAGTTACCCTCTGCATTATTCCGTAAAATAGGTTTTTCAGTATATTTTAAATACTTTATCAAATTCATAACAGCTTTTAAATAAACTTTTGAAAACTGCTCTCTGAATCTTATTGCATGATTATCCCGAGACACTGAAACAAACAATTGTTAAACTATGAGCAATATCAGGTAATGGTAATCACGCAATGAAGCATGCGCTTGACCTCTTTGGGTAGCACATTAGAGCACATTTAAGGATTATGACCGGATAGGCTTTCTCGACAAGCAACATTTGCTTCTCTGAAATTCACTTGAAGAAGACGCAAGGCTATTAAACTAATGCTTGTAATAAGGGCACGGAAATAGTGATTTGAGCTGGCTCTCAAAATAGGTCGTATTAAGGTTGCAGGCTGCATCTACTCAGGCCAACCTTATTGAAGGCTACAGATATTGTGATATGAATAAACACCATAAGCAATGAAGCTCATACATTTACTCACTTTTTGATTAGATTTAACTCGCTAGCTTTTGCTTTTATCTTTCACAGAGCTTTCGACTCCTCCAATCGCTGTTTGATTATTGACTGATCGAAATGGTTTGCCAAAAGTAGCAATAAAACCCGTCACACTTCAAGGCAAAATTGATGATTCGTCATCACTAAAGTGAAAATAGCTAAATTATAAATAGTTTCTGTCTCGCCCTTATTTAGGGTCAGTATGAAAATCTGTAATCTAGGATTGCATCAACAAATGTGTATTGGATCAAAAACGTCCATAATAATATTGTTGAACCAGGTGACAAAAGTATTTTTAGCAACTTGGAATTTAAGTTGACAGACCAAGTGACACAATATTAGCACAAATGATGTTGGTGACCACTTTAGTGTGTGCTATCAAAAAGAACATCATATATGAAAATTCATATAATTATGTTGATCCAAGCAGAAAATTGGGTTGTTAAATCATCACCAAAGTCATTAAAAAGCGATTGATTCCATTTTCCTGGATGTATGTAACGTTTGCCCCCTTTGTTGTTCAGTCATCTCCTTATGACTTTAGTAATGACTCAACAACCACCTTTTTTGCGTGAACTAACGAAATTGTATAAATGTCGATATATGGTATTCTTTTTAAAACATTCCAATGTATGTTATTTGAAACTTAATTCAATTTCAGTAGAAAGCTGATTGAGAACATTCAAAGTTGATGGTCAATATCAATTTTGTTCCTATTGTGTTACTTTTTGATTTGAATTAATCNGAATTAATCAAGGAAAAAGGATGTCTTCGATATTAGAATAGGTTCGAACCTCATAGGAAACCTAAAGCTGAAAGGGTAGGGAGCACTGTACGTTAGGTTTGGACAACGATCCGCGTTCGCCAAATCTATCGACAATCAACTTCTCTAAAGAACGTAACTCTAAACTTGGTATCGAATGTTTTCAAAAGAGGAGCTGTTGTTTCGATACTTTTCCTAATATTCTGACCAATTTTCAATAAGAATTTTACTGTTTATTATAGTTTGACAACCAGGCTTACGGATATCAGAATTCCGATAAGTACGTAATCACATGTGTCTATAGAAGCATAGTAAATGTGTATATAATGAATGAAATTCTATCGATCAATATAAAATGAGAACATTCTGAACTGCTTTTGAAAACACTATCTTACTTTTCAATTGTCTAATCATCCCGTTTCCAAGCAATGTTCAACTTTTGGTTTCAAAGTAATGAAATAATTTATAATTGCACACATCACAAACAATCTTTTGAGCACCCTTAGTTTTATTGGCAAAAATGCTGTTTCCCGTCATGTGAATACTTGTATTGTTGCAAGGAATTCCAGACCTTAGACTTTCTTTACAAACTATTTCATCGACAATCACTTGCAAGACGTATAGAAATCCGTAGGTAGTTAAATCTAAGCATCAATGAACCCTAAACGAAATCCGCGTTGTACTACTTCAAATAATGCAGAAACTACGATGCGATTATAGTTTCACTTAAAAATATACAGCTTTTTACGTACAGATTATGTATATATGTCTCACATCCGCCCGAGGAAAGACTGTGGGCCAAACA